AATTGTGTTATCTAAGAAGACAATGCAAAGCCTCATAGTACACTGAACACCAGAGCAGCTGTGACTGCTGCTGCTCGTGAAAGGAACTGGAATATTGTTGTGAAGCCTCAACCCCCTAACAGTCCTGACTTTGATGGTCTTGATTTGGGTTTCTTCAATTCTATTCAGAGCCTTCAGCACAAGAAGTGGTCTTCCAACATGGACACATTGAATGCCAACGTGACTGCTGCATTTGAGGAATCCAAATGGGAAACTCTAAACAATTTTTTTTTCACTACAGTGTGCAATGGAGGAGTCACTTGGTGTTGGTGGTGACAACACTTATAAGATACGACAACTTGGCAAAGAAAAACTTTCTCGTCAAGGGGACAAGCTTCCAGTTTCGATCACTTGTGACCCAGAAAAGATTGCCTTTGCATGTTCAGTACTGGCAGACTTCAACAACAGTACCAATACTCATAGTAATTAGTAGTGCTGTATTGGTACCAATAGTAGTAGTAGTAATAGTGCTAAAACTCTTAAATATGAATGGTGACACAATACTAGTTGTATTACTTCTAGTACTTCTTATTCTACATGTTCTACAGGGCTATCCCATCATACTGACCTATTATTACTGGACAAATTGGTGAGTACTGCAAAGTGTCCTATTATTGTGGGACGGAGGTAGTAATATATATCAGCATCACTATCAGCAATATCAATATCATTAGCAAGATTATGTGCAGTACTGTACGTATGGTACTGTGCAGGAAATACACGGTACTGGAAAACCAAAGTACTGTAAGGTATCCATAGTACATACATACATACGTAGCGGACGCAGTCTGTGCTTTTTCTGTATCGGTCTGGCCTTTTTCCTACGCGCGGTCTGGCTTCACGCGCGCAAGCCGTCAGGCATATCTAAAAGTGATTACGAAGTATTTTCTAACTATTGAAAAATACGTACGCTGCCCTTTTTTGGGAAGCTTCTTCTCGATGGCAAGTCATTGCTTGACAATGACACTGCAAACTAGTGATAGTACTATTTTTTCTGCATCTTTAGACATGTCAAACACTGTCAGACAAAGACTGGTTGCTGAGATGGAGCTTCCCGAAAAAGGGCACGCGCGAATCGTTAAAAACTCTTATTCTATTCCCATGAGGAGGTAGAGAGGTATAAATAAAACAGATTTTGGGAATCATAAATATTTTTTGCTGTTCCTGGGTTCGGAGCAAAAATTGTATAGGCATCCCAGGATAATTTTTATATAAAGCTCTCACAAGCAAAGACAGTAAACAAATGTTGAGGATTTCTTTTTTGTTCAATACTTTGTTGAGGAATGTTCCTGGGTTCGGAGCAATGAAGCTGATATTTTGGATATAACAGTGGGACAGTGGCTTCCTTGAACATCCTCACCTTGGATTTATCATTGGCCGAAACAATTTCTTTTTCTTTCGCAGGAGTATGAATAATATGAATAAAACAGATTCCGGGATGCTACAATTTTTGCTCTGCATCCAGGAACACCTTCTCAACATATCATTTTGTCAACAGATCGTTTCATTGGGTAAGAAAAACATTTATCAATATCAGTATCAGTTTTGGGCTACGAAGGATTTATCAATATCAGTATCAGTTTTATCAATATTAGTATCAATATCATTCTCAAGACATGGTTGTTGTTTTTTGCTGGAGAAGTATCAATAAAACAGATTCCAAGATGCATAAACAATTTTTGCTCCGCATCCAGGAACACCTTCCCAACAAATCGGTTTTGACTTTGGCTAGAGAGGTATAAATAAAACAGATTTTGGGAAGCATAAATATTTTTTGCTCCGAATTGAGAAACTTTCTTTTGCAGGAGGAGTATAAATAAAACAGATTCCGGGATGCCTAACATCTTGCATGCAGAAATCAATCAGAACCGGATGAGGTCAACAGCACCGAAATATCGATAACACAGAGCATCGTTGGAAAGGGAATGGTTCCTTTCATTCCATCCTTCAACTCACAAAACCAAAAAGCAGAGCTTTCAAAAAGCAAAACATATAACATTTCAATATGAAATTCTCCGAAATCGTTGTCGCTGCCCTCAGCTTCAACTGTTCACCTTGGTTTGTCCAAAGACAAGGAGAAGAAATAAGGCATAGGATAGGACCGTGGGAGCTCCATCCAATCGGTAACGATGTCGAAGGCACCGAATTTGGTAGAATTCTAACTTATGGAGATCCTACTTTTATCAATGTCAACTTAAAAATTGAAGGAAATTTTGAGACTCACCAACCAACGATTGAGGTGTTCACAGGAGTCGGAGACGGCCAGGCATGCGACGAAGGAAACATGCTTCCGAATGGTCATGATGGCTTGTCTTTACTTTTTTTTACTGATGAAGAGTATTCTGCATATGAGCCATTGATGGTTACAAGCAATGGAAGTCTTGGTACGTTAAGCCGGTAGCAACAATGCTTAGCTTTCTGGAAGGGTGTTTGTGATGGGTGGATGCCATGAAATTTATCCTCATCGTACTCTTCCTTTTTTCTTCCATGGTATTGTTGTTCTAAGGTAATGCCAATATCAAAATGAAGCTACACGATCCTTTAGCCTGGACAGCGTTAAATGAGGACCAAGCGGATGTTGGTAGTTTCAACGCATGTGTTCGGGTTACCAAGAAGCACGATGGCACTTATGTCTCCTTTGTTGATACATTGGTTGAGTTGAACGTCGATGCAGAAGGGACGTTCCAGACGTTTGAGAATGCCATTACGGTTGTGGGCACCAGCACGAAATCATTGGAAGAGAATCAAACAGTAGAAATCGGTATGGACTCCTATCTGTGTGGACCCTCTGATTCAGGAGACCCAGAACGCTCCTACAAGATTGGCCAGAGCTTCTCCATCTGCGTTGGTCCTACCGAGGATGCRATTGCAGAGTATGGCAGTGTACATGTTGCCGTGGTTGGGTTCCAAGATGTTACATGTGCCGAGACAGTCAAGGTGGTGGAAGACGGACAGGAGATGGCACTGACAACCGTCACCACTAATCCCGAAAATTACAAGAGGGCCAATGAAGTCATTGTTGGATCGGGYGTTTCGTCTTTTGAAACCGTTGTGACTCCCGCGTACCATAATGCACCCAATGAAGCTTCGGTCACGTGCTCAGGCACGGTGGAGCTGAGCTTCACCAACCCAAACCCCCCAAGCACAAGGTTTGAGAAGGCGGGATGCATCACGTTGGACACGCGTACTGCCTTCAGATCAACTTTGACTGATGGTGGGTCCGACGATGATGTTCAACCATGCAATGGCACTTGCGCTGTTATGGGTAAATCGTACTTCGTTTTGGATTGCCCCTATCTCGACGAAGAAAACGCTGTGCGTGCTAGATGCTTTTGCACCGATGTCGAACCTCAAGCCCAACTTGACACGTGCCCTGGTGCAAACACGGAAAATGAAGAAGATTGTTCTAAAACGCTCGTCGAAAACAGTTTGTATGACT